TGTCTGTGTGTCTGTCTGTCTGTGTGTCTGTGTGTGTGTCTGTCTGTCTGTGTGTCTGTGTGTCTGTCTGTGTCTGTGTGTGTGTCTGTCTGTGTGTCTGTGTGTGTCTGTCTGTCTGTGTGTCTGTGTGTCTGTCTGTCTGTCTGTGTGTGTGTCTGTCTGTCTGTCTGTGTGTGTGTGTCTGTGTGTGTGTCTGTGTGTGTGTCTGTGTGTCTGTGTGTCTGTGTGTGTGTCTGTCTGTATGTCTGTGTGTCTGTTCTCTTTAAGGATTGTTGATAAAAAAACAAAGTTAGTTCCTGATGAAGACACCACATCATCATCATCATCATCATCATCGTCAGCAGCAGCAGCCCGTCTGAAGCCATGCAGAACCCATCAGAGGACAGGAAGTGGTCTGGTTAGTAAAACATCCCATAATATCTCTGAGCCTGACAGAAACTCATCCCTCATCTTTTTATAACGAGAATACAACAAACGTGTTTCAACAGGTGGTTAAACTGTGACATCACAGCAGAGGTCAGAACATCATGTCTGTGCGCCCGTCAGGCTCCGGCACTAAACCTACCCATAATGCTCAGGGGGGGTCTGCACGGAGGGCTGAGGCTGAGCAGTGGTCCCCTGCTGGGAGTGGTGAGGAGGGTGAGGAGGGTGAGGAGGGTGAGGAGGATGAGAGGGATGAAGGGTGGGAGAGAGGGCAGGTCGACCGCCGGGCCAGGACTGGTTGTGGTAGGCTGGGGAACGAGCAAAGGGAGGCCTGGAGGAGGAGGAGGAGGAGGAGGAGGAGGGGGGGGAGGGGGAGGAGGAGGAAGGAGGAGGAAGAGGAGGAGAAGCAACAGAAATGTAGATTTGGTGAAAACCGTTGACTCTCTGCAGATTTGGTTCATTCTGCTTGAAACAGCTCGACGCCTTTTGATAAAATAATAACTGTTCTGGTTTGACAGATTCTTCCAGACTTGACCTTTAACCCCCCCCCCCCCGGCTCTGTGCAGACTCACCTGCTCTGGGCGACAGCAGCGGCGACGCTGGCGGAGGTCGAGGATGACGAGGAGTTGGCACTCGGCCCAGAATTTGGGCCGACCTCAGGCAGTTTGCGGCTGGTGTTGGGCCCCGGGGGCCCCATGCCCTGCCCGGCGGGCTGTGGCATGCCAGGGGAGGTGGGAGCCATGGCACTCCCTCCAGCGGGGTAAGGCCGGCCCCCGGCGCCAGGCCCAGGGCCGCGACCTGCCGGGGTGGATGGGCCCTGACCGTGCATGGGACTGCTGGCGTTTAACCCCAGACTGTTGGCTAAACCAGGACCCGGGCCAGGGCCGCTGTAGTTGGCACTGGGGGCCCCGCCGTAGTGGGGGGGCCGGGGGAAGTTACCTGCAGAGGACGAGGAGGAAACGTCTGTGTTAAAGGTCATTACTGTGAATCAAGGTGTTTCCTTCCACCTGGGTCACGGTGTTTTACCTGGAGGTCCGTACTGGCCGTATGACGCCCCCTGCTGGTAGGAGCCGTGGTGCATGGTGCCCCCCGGCGCTGGGTGAGGGGACATGGGCGGTGCTGACTGCTGAGGGCCAAACTGAGGCCCCGGGGTGCTACGCTGCATGGAGGGAGGGAAACCTGCGGAGACAGACGGCGGTCAGATGTTTGAAGAGAGAAGATGGAGGATGAATGAAAAGCGAGGCGTACCTCTGTCCTGAGGCGGGGCTGACTGAGGGCCGCCGTCTGATCCAGGACCAGAGACCTGAGGGGTCAACTGAGGGCCTGAGGGGGCGCACAGAGACACGGTGTTAACACCTTCCTGTATGTGCTGGTCTCCATGACAACCAGTCAGCATGATGTCAGACTCAACACTGACTTAACAAAGACACGTGAAAACACACTGATGAGCTCTGAGAGACAGGAAGTGACATCATCACCCTACCTGGTCCACTGGTGGCAGGGGACATCGGACCGGATCGTGATTGGCTGCTGGACCCAGCGGGGGACGGCGACGGGGAGGGCGAGGGCCCGGTGCGAGCCGGCGGGGGGAGTCGAGGTGAGACGTGGGGGGAGAAAGGAGAACGTGCTGGAGTCCCCTGATCGCCCTGAGCGCTGCTGGAGCCCGACGCCCCTGAACTCACCGCCGCCTCGGTGCCGGTGGGCAAGTCATCGATGGAGCCGGATAAATCCTGGAACACAGACAAAGACACGGCCGCTGCTGTTAATTTATTCATGTCTTTATTTCACTGAGTCAGTAATTAATACTGTTTAGACTCAAACAAACTGAAATTATTTTACTTTCATTCTTCAGTGTTTTATTTTTCTGACTGGTCACTGAGGCCCAGTCCCGGTCCCGGTCCCAGTCCCAGTCCCAGTCCCAGTCCAGCCCCCTTTGCCCTACACCTGGTTCTGGAGGCCCCCCACTGAGTCGTGGCCCTTTAGAACAGAGGTGTAACATCTTCACGTAGGGGCGCCACTCGTTACGCCATCAGTAGCATTAGTCAGCTCAAACACACAAGACTGATGTGTTTTATAAAGTGTGTGTGTGTGTGTGTGTGTGTTTCTCCTCCTTCAGGGAGGAAACAGAACAACATGGGGAGGTTCTCTGGGTCCATGAGGAAGAGGAGCAGGTGATGAAGAGAGGAGAGGAAAAACCAGTGGAGACAAACGAAGAGAAGAAGAAGAGGAGCACTGCACTGAAATCTCCCATCTGCCCCTGGGCCTGGAGCCAGCCAATCACAGCGCAGCAGCCCATCCTCCCTCCCTCCCTCCGCCCCTTGCCAACAGCCCGGCCAATCAGCTGCTGCACTGCATGTCTCGCACACACTCACACACACACACACACACACACACACACACACACACACACTCCTGGTGTGTGTTCTAATTATAAAGAGTGAGCCACAGAGAGTGTTTGTCTGCAGCCTCTATCGACCTTCTCCTTCTGCTTCACCTCCTCTCCTCCTGATTTACTTCTTTCACCTCCTCTCCTCCTCCTGCCTCTCCTCCTCTCCTACTGCTTCACCTCCTCCTCCTGCTTCACCTCCTCTCCTCCTCCCTTCCTTCACTATCTCTCCTCCCCTCCTTCTCTCCTCCTGATTTACTTCTTTCACCTCCCCTCCTCCTCCTCCTGCCTCTCCTATTGCTTCACCTCCTCCCCTCCTTCTCCTCCTGCTTCACCTTCTCTCCTCCTGATTTACCTCTTTCACCTCCTCCTGCTTCACCTCCTCTCCTCCTCCTTCACCTCCTCTCCTACTTCTCTCCTCCTGATTTACCACTTTCACCTCCTCTCCTCCTGCTTTACCTCTTTCACCACCTCTCCTCCTGCTTCACCTCCTCTCCTCCTCCCTTCCTTCACCTTCTCTCCTCCTGATTTACCACTTTCACCTCCTCTCCTCCTGCTTTACCTCCTCCCCTCCTTCTCTCCTCCTGCTTTACCTCCTCCCCTCCTGCTTCACCTCCTCCTCTCCTCCTCGTCACCTCCCCTCCTCCTCTCTGTCAGTCAGTAGTTCAATCATACTCCTCTCAGCAGCTCCTGATGACATCATGAATCAATGTGTTTCACACAAACTCTTCATTTACAGTAAAACACACTCCTCCTCTCCTCTCCTCTCCTCTCCTCCTCACTCTGGTGCTCCTCCTTCAGCTCTCAGCCTTCACCTCCTCTTAGTTTACCCGTGTAACCAGGATTAAAGCGAGTCGTTAGGAGGTTCCAGTCGTCGGTTATTTCAGGTCATTCAGACGTAAAGATTTGTTTTATATATTTTAATTTGAACTGGATTCAAAAGTCTTGATGAAACAACGTGAAGTTTAAATTTAGATTTTAATATTTAGAAAGTAAATAAATATGTTTCTGTCTCGTGTGTTTCCAAACAGGAAGTCACAAACCTGACCAAGGCTCAAAGTCAGTCAAATAAATAAACAGTTAATTTTCTCTGTTTAAACTGGAGGGATAAAACCTGAGCATCATCTGTGAGGCCTCACCGCCCGTCGCCATGGCAACTGCATCAGCACCACTGACTTCAAAAGGAGGCTCCGAGCAGGGAAAGAAAGAGACGGAGGGAGAGGGATGATGACGGAGGAGAAGGAAACAGCAGACAGTGTAGAGAGAGGAGCAGTCAGAGAGGAGCAGTCGGAGAGGAGCAGTCGGAGAGGAACAGTTAGAGAGGAGCAGTCGGAGAGGAGCAGTCAGGGAGGAGCAGTCAGAGAGGAGAAGTCAGGGAGGAGCAGTTAGAGAGGAGCAGTCAGGGAGGAGCGGTTAGAGAGGAGCAGTTAGAGAGGAGCAGTCAGAGAGGAGCAGTCAGAGAGGAGCAGTCAGAGAGGAGCAGTTAGAGAGGAGCAGTCAGGGAGGAGCAGTCAGGGAGGAGCAGTCAGAGAGGAGCAGTTAGAGAGGAGCAGTTAGAGAGGAGAAGTCAGGGAGGAGCAGTCAGGGAGGAGCGGTTAGAGAGGAGCAGTTAGAGAGGAGCAGTTAGAGAGGAGCAGTCAGAGAGGAGCAGTTAGAGAGGAGCAGT